ACAATAATGGGTATGTACCAATCCTCATAAATACGTTGACACTATTGTAAAATTGGGGTATTAAATTGTTATTAAAGAAACCACTAGCAGTGGTTTATTAATCACGCCGCTGGCGATTGCATTGTATTTTGTTGGTGTTATAAAGATTACCATTTCATTTTCCAACCTCCGTTTTAGGTTATTCCTCAATCAGTAACCCTTCTTAAATTTAAAAACAAAAACATATGCTCAGTTTTTATTCATTAGACATTAAATAATAGTTTTAAAACACACAAAAAAACCGAGTTCGAATTCAAGTCGGGTTCGTTAGAGACATTTATGACAGATATGAATCCATCTCTCCCCCGCCAGCTATGTGTTGACTAACAGGTTTGACTGAAAAATATAGCCTTATTTATTTTTAGTTAAATTCATATATATATAATCGAGCTTTGAATGAATTTGCCTTTGTGGTGTTCTAGGGATAAGAAATCGGAGAGCTCGAATTCCAGTCGGGTTCATTATATTGACTTACGCGCAAATACTCTCGTATGAATCTTGTGATAGGTAAGAATCTATCTCTTCTCCTCCCAGCTACGGGTTGAATAACAGGACAGGATATAATTGGAATTTGAATACCGCAAAAGACATTGCAAACTATATATATAAAAATCTTATGCCAAAGTCAATCATAAATCGAAAAAGGCATGATTGCTATAGCTTATATCGCGTAAGACACTGAAAAGTTCTTCCAGTTAAGCAGATTTGGTGAATATTGAAACAAATGGTAATCTGATCCAGTTTTTTGGTTATTTCAGTATTCAACAGAATGCTCCTTTTTGGAGCGTTCTGTTGAATTATTTTTATTACACTACATTTTTAGTATGAGTAATATTAACTACTAAATTAATTGGACTAGTACAAACGTTTTTTGTTTTTTGTTTTTGGAAACAATTAATTTGTTATTTTGTAATAAAAGCAATAACAATATAAAAACAAAATAGACAAAATTAGAATATATAAAATATGAAGAGGTGCTGCAAATTTCTCAGTCCAACCAATTTCCCCAATTCTCAGGACATCTCAGCAAAGTTGTGCCAAAATGGCAGGTTTGAAAGGGACGTGATTTTCGGCGTTGTCCGGATGGAAAGCGACGCCATTCCGACTGACCAATTCCGGACACTTATCATCAATTGCTAGCGTGATTTGTTCCAACAGAGAACAGCATTTGTCTGAATTCAAAGCTTGAAGAAGCTTGTAATGCACTATTATTTCCAATTAAATAACTACACAACACCACTTACTTCGGATTAAGACCAACTTTTTAAGAGTGGTCTAACTGATTTAAAATTTTATCCCGCGGGAGCATTTTATTTTAAACCATTCATTGCAAGTGTATTTGCATATAAGTGAAAATAACGATGAAAAACTGAATGAAAACACTGTTTTCGATTTCCAAAAATGTATTCCGATGCGTTTTCCATTACACCATACAAGCATTCAAGCTTATAGCACCTGTTATTCACAAGCGGTCACCCATCTAGGTACTGGCGAGGCTCGACGAAAATTATTTTTTTAATTTTAATGATCGAACGAGTAAACTTGTTTAAAATACATGATATAAGCAGTGGTAATTCGAAGATACAAGGTTAGATGAATATGACAGGTGTACTAAGACAGGCGGTACCAATTTCTGCTAGGTCTGACAAGAGACGTAAAGTCTGGCATTATTCTGATGAAAGACAACGCCCTTCCAATGGCCAATTCAGGACACTTTTCATAAATTGCTGCATTTAATCGGTCCAGTTGAGAACAGAGCTTGTCTGAATTCAAAGTTTTTAATTTTGCGGAAGAATCTCCTGATGCATTTTGTGTTTCCAATCCTACCAGATACATCTTCTCTTGAAATGGCTAATGTTTAATCATTTCGTTAATTTTTCCGGACCTGTTTCGCTCTACAATATTGTAAACAATCCATTTTTCATCGCTAGCCATCGTACTTTTCAGAACTGGGTCGTTTTTGCTATGTTTGAGAAGAGAATTGCAGATGGAAATACGATTCATTATATACCGGGTCTAACAGACAAAATTGTCCAAATCGTGTAACAGCATGGGATAATTGTCCATCCCACAAAATGTTTAATATCTAAAAAACACAAAACTAATTTAGTTTCTTTCTTCCAGATTTTCGGATATGACGATTAACCATCGTGACACCATTTGTCGTAAGAATCACTGAAAAACACTTTGAGTTATTCAGCTAAAAAGAGAACAGGTTATAATCGTTTTGTTTCAACCCCACTATGTCTTCCTAACTGAGTAATGGTGAGAGGAAAAAGATCATTCAGGCCTTCAGTAATGGTACCAACATACATACTTTGGCTTCCATCTTCAAAGTACATTCAAGAACCGTCAAGAGGATGGTGAATAAGTTTAAAAAAGAGGGAACAGTAGCTCCAAAAACAATAACTCATTTTCAATAGCATTTTCGGATACAACAATACATATATTTTCGTTGTCCTCTTATTACTAAGAGAAAAAACAAGAACAACATCTATTCTATACCTGAAGATGTCTGTAGGAACAGACGAAAGCTTGTAGTAAAAAATAAGAACTAATACGGCAGAAATTTATGGAAACAACGATCATTTCATTCATAACGGATTCGGAGGTTTTTGTATATTATTTGAATTGTTTGCGATGATGGATTTCTCGCCAATTAAATCATTAACCTTTGCATTTGTTTTTGTGTGAATAATTCATGAATTTGTAAATTGATTGCACGTTTATCGTATATATATATATATATATATATATATATATATATGAACTTTATTTATCTTCATGAGCTCTGATCCTTAGCTATGATTAATTAACGATGAACATGCCATTTTCGTTTATGATCAATTTATCACAATTCTTCTGTTATATAATTGTACATTCTTATTACTCAAAGTAGAGTCCAGTAGTGTTATAAAAAACCTTGGAGAATTTCAGTAAGACATTTTTAATGATTTCTAAGACAACAACGGTTCAAAGCTTAATCTAACAATTGCACAATTTTGCTGTTACACAACTTGGACAATTTTGTTGTTACACTCGGTATATTTCCGTTAAATGTTGAGGTACCCAAACCGGGTAAAGTTTCACGTATCCAAGTGTTGTAAAATGCTTTATAATGCTAATATGAGATATGTGGAATACCTCTGCGATGTCCCGTTTTGTGTGACCTGCACCTGGTTTAACTATCATCAACGACCTGGCTAGCCGCAATGCTGTCGGTCTTTCAGCTCAAAGTTTCTCCTCCTGAATTTAGAGAATCATTCACAAACAGTACTCCTCATCGATAAACAGCACCTATCTCTTTATTGATTGTACAATATTTTTGTCTTTCTGAAAAAAAAATGGAATGATGAAAATGCACCTGGTTTTCCTCCATTTCCACGCCTAATGTAAGAACGTTATCATATATATTCATCATATATATATATATATATATATATATATATATATATATATATATATATATATATATATATATATCAGATCTAGGTTTGACAATAATTATAAACGACAATAATAACAAGAAGAAGAAGAAAAAGCGAATGTCAAGTGTGTCACTGTGTCTCATTTTTTTTCAACTCTACTCCTTTGAGGCCGTAGACCAATATATTATACCATTTTGGAATCAAGCCAACTCTGTGAGCAAAAATTAAAACATTCCCAGCCGGTTCCAGATCCGCAATCCTGAAATTTGGGATTCCAAATTTTTCATAAACTGCGATTGTTTTCGGCAATTTTTGTACGTGATTTTTTAGGACGATTTTTTTTTTTCACGATAACAGTTTTTATAACTTGGAAATAAAATTTGGGAATAATCGAAACTATTTACGAAATCCAACCAAAGTCCCCCATGAAAAAATTATTATTATTATTCATAAAAATAATTATTTCTATGGAAAGTAAAGACCTACGTACATCAAATTGTCTTTAAATTAAGCGCAGCAGAAAAAATTATCGTTGAACTTTTAAAAGATGATATTAAATATAAATGCAATACTTAAATGCAACGATCAATTTTGAATTCTTTTGTAGTTTATTGATGCCATAATAACGGCAAGAATACTTCGTCGCAAACAATATAAATAAGATACATCAACCCCGAACCTGTATATGAATGATATGATCCATTGTTTATAAATTCCAGTTGCATAAGGTCTTTTTAATTTTTTACAATTTTTCGTCTGTTCCTACAGACATCATCAGGTATTGAAGTAGATTCTGTTCTTGTTTTTACTTCTCAGTAATAAGAGGGCAACGAAAATAGAGATGTAATGCAACTGGAATTTATGAACGGGGATCATATCATTCATATACAGGTTTGGGGTTGGTGTATCTTATTTATATTGTTTGACGATGTATTCTCGCCATTTAAATCATTAACCTCTATATTTGTTTTTTGTATGAATGATTCATGAATTTATAAATTATAATTGCACCTTTTAATTGAAAAATATATATATATATATATATATATATATATATATATATATATATATATATAGTGTTTGGTAATGTTTTTTGATTTCAGGTGCACAATTTACGCAGATGGGTTGCTTTTTGCGGAGCCATCGGGAAAAGGTAAATTTTGCCGCCTGTTTGTAAATGTAGTAATGTCAATCCTTTCTGGTTGTCTCGATCTGGTGGATGGGGAAAAGAATTAAGTTAAATGTAAACTCAACCAGAAACAAATTATTTACTTTTAAGGAAGCAGTTTTCTTAGGTTCAGTCAAGCGTACCCTAATTGTACAAACATGGAAAAAAAAGTCTTTTTGTTAAAATTCTATTTTTTTTTTTTTTTTTTTACAATGAACGGATGTTTAAGTGAGGCAAATAAGACATTTGTTTTTAAACAGGTTTTGAAAATGTCAAGGCAATTTTTTAAAATTTATTCTAACAAATATTTTCCTCTACATCAGCAGTATGCAAGTTTTATTAATGACGTTTTTAAAACAAAGGGAATGCTATCATCTATCTATCTATCTATCTCACATCAACAAAGAATCTATCACAGTCCTATCTATCTATCTATCTATCTATCTATCTATCTATTCACACTGTTCATATCTATCTATCTATCTATCTATCTATCTATCTACCTATCTCAAATTTCATATTTATCTAAAAATATCTATCTATCTCAGTATATATCTATCTATCTATCTATCTATCTATCTATCTCACACTGTTCATATTTCATTTTATCACAGTCCCATCTATCTATCTATCTATCTATCTATCTCACACTGTTAGCTCTTCATATCTATCTATCTATCTATCTATCTACCTATCTCACACTGTTCATATCTATCTATCTATCTATCTCAGTCCTATCTATCTATCTATCTATCTATCTATCTATCTCACACTGTTCATATCTATCTATCACAGTCCCATCTATCATATCTATCTATCTATCTATCTATCTCACACTGAAATATTATCTATCACAGTCCTATCTGAATCTATCTATCTATCTATCTATTCTATCTATCTATCTCACACTGTTCATATCCATCTATCTATCTATCTATCTCACACTGTTCATATCTATCTATCTATCTATCTATCTATCTATCTATCTCACAAATGTTCATATTCTATCTATCTATCTATCTATCTATCTATCTATCTATCTATCTCAGTCTGTTAATATCTACCCATCATCTATTTATCTATCTTTTACTGTTCATATCTATTTATCTCATACCGTTCATGCATGTCTATCTACAGTGCTGTTCGATAAAAGTGACTCACCTGATTTTTTTTCCTAAAAATATTTTTTATCTATTGTTTTGGGGGTTAAAATAATTTTAAATCTTACTAATATAAAGACCCTTCCCGACCACCCAAGAAAAAAGTTTATTTCTGTTTAAAGTTTATTCTATTGATAATTATAATTTTGTATATAAATGAGATTCAGCAAAAAAACTCTGTGCAAAAAAAGTGACTCACTTATTTCCTAGTAATCAATAGAAACATAGATTATTAAATATTTCGAACTATATTACCTATTATAAATAAATTATGCCTCTATTATTCTTTATTTAAAGCTGTTCGGTTATGTTTCTGGGGTTTTGGAGAGAATAAGAAAGAACATTTGGTGAAAACATCTAGACACAATTTGAAGAACAATGCGTTTTCCACTATGACAATGCAACTTCTCATACATCAATCATTGTTAGATAATTCCATGATTTAAAAAAAACAAAAGCTTATACATTATAATCGAGGGTGTTGTAGTCTAGGGAGTTAGGCGGCCAGATGTAAAGTGTGATACGGTTGCAGAAATTGTCAGACAGCCATGACTGGGCTCTCCTGTTTGTGTGACATGGTCCTATTACCTCATATAGGGTCTTCCAGCAGCCACCGTCTTGAGCCTAGTCACCCTACCTTCTCCAGACACTTGATGTAGGCCTCCGTGTTGAGTCTGAGGCCCTCAACAAGTTCTGGAGTTATTTTATTATCAGAACGACTAGGGTGAGTTTTCCGAACAGGCATACCACCGTAATCACCATTAGACTCATCGAACTCTTTCCGAATCCTCTGAACTGTCCTCGGATTTATACCCAACCACTCTGAAATGTTCGTATTAGAGCTTCCGGTGGAAATACCAAGCAGTACAGCATGCCATTTCGAAATTTCTGGTGTAGTGAATTGCGCCATATACGCTCTTTTTCTCACGAATGGTTCCCAACTGATCATACTATATCGTGCAGTCGACAAAAGCAAACAACGCGCATGCGCGAAATTAAAAATATAAAATGGCGGCAATTTACCAGTATGTAAAATATATATCGTTATCTCATACATACATAAGAGAAAATTTGGAAAACTTCTATTTATAAGGAGAAAAGTAACAGGGAGGCAGTATAAGGAGTCATGAAAATTATGAAAATATCAGACAGACAGCGTGTATAAATTTAAAAGTGGACACGGATAAAAACAAATGGTGACAATCTGTTTTTTACTTTAAGGCAGTCATCATGGCCTGAAGATTGGTTTGAAGCTTGAAACGGATTGTCGAAGTCATTCCATATATATATATATATATATATATATATATATATATATATATATATATATATATAAATGACAATTAGAAAAATGAAAGTCAATATTGGACGAAACGCGTGCAACTATTACAGTTTTTTTGTATTTTAATTTACATTTATAAATATTAATAAAAGGTTAAAAATGTTTAACCCTGAGAAATTTTCATATATACATATACACACACACACAAATATAAATATATATATATATATATATATATATATATATATATATATATCCGCACTTTCGCCATGACATACTTTCAGACAAAGTGTGGATATTTTTGAGTTTTTCCTCGAACACACACACATACATATATATATATATATATATATATATATATATATATATATATATGTGAAATTCACATGGTGTAATGGTTAGAAGCTTGTCTCACTAGATCAATTACGACTGAGTAGTAAGTGTAAACATATTTAGAGGTTTGAGTTACAACTAAGCTTACGCTTAATAATAATAATAATAATAATAATAATAATAATAATAATAATATATTGATATTATTGAATATATATATATATATATATATATATATATATATATATATATATATATATTATAGCGTATTTTCTCATATATATTATTGCTACGCTTAAAAATATATATATATATATATATATATATATATATATATATATATGAGAAAATCATTAACTTTTCCTTGTTTGTCCACAATTTTGATCAACACGTGCAACAACTTATTAAAAAAAATTTAGAAAATATAATAAAAACAATTAATAGACAGTGTTTACATTTTATAAAACTTGATTGAATTTTTGCTGGCTATTCGCTGCGTGCCAATGTTTCAGGCGAATCATGAATGTTTTATTGTGACTAATGCTTAACTAGCTACCATTGCATACCATCTGTTCGAATCTCACTGTCGTTCACATGCAAATTATCATAGATGAACAATATAAATGTATGAAGGATACTCTAGTCCTGAATTAACCATAGAGCTTTTTAGCAGCAGTAGAATTCACCGTTGCAACGGTTCAACATGGATGGGATGGTAGACGAACGGAAGAAGAACAACACGAACAAGAAGAAGAAGAAGAAGACGCCTGTGTCCATTAAATTCAAAATACCAGCGGCTTTGAAATTGTGGAATCGGGAAGTTAGGGCGACCCGTGAAACAAACTTCGTGCTGTGCAAAGTTTGTGATTTGCGACAAGTCTGCGTTTCCCGAGTAACTGGTCATATTGTGAAAGGAGGCGTAACATTTCCAAGCAAAGGTTACCAACAAGAACAAGTCGACGCCATCATTTTGACGGCCTAACAGCCAATGGTAGTTGATCTAATTTGCACTAAATGTAACCCAATCGCCTCTAGAGAACTGTAAATTTTAGACAAATGCCGGCCCGTTTCTGATTCGTTCCTGGGCGCCTTGCCGAGTTTTTGCTTACTGTACAAATGGCGAATAAAGGGGAGAGTGCATATAGATAGGGATCGGTACGCACGAATTTGTCTTTGGAGTTAGATATCTGTAACTATGCACGTAAGTCTTCATAGATAGATGAGGGGGTGCAGAAAAGTTTCCAGTTAGATCCACTTCTCAATTTTTTTCTTTTTTGAAGGGCTTCCCAGTTAAACAGAATACTTTCGCTACCACCTCGTGTATATATATATGTGTGTGTGTGTGTGTGTGTGTGTGTGTGTGTGTGTGTGTGTGTGTGTACGTGTGTGTATGTAAAATTTCAGATATAACTAAAATATATTCGTAATAGATAAGATAATAAAGAATAAAAGAAAAACTTAAAACTTTTTAGCCGTCGCGTTTCGTCCTCTGATAGATTTATCAAGGCAAATGATAAAAATCATATGGTTTGATGAAGTCCATCAGAGAACGAAACACGTCTACTAAGATAAGTTTTCCTTTTTGTCTTTATTCATTTGATTGATAAACATTTTCTTTAAATTAACCCTCTTAGTAAAATATTTAACAGAAGCACATTAAAAGTTAGTTATAGCTGTACCAATAATCTTGAGAAGATTATAAAGTTACACAATAATAAAATTTTAAACCAGTTTAATAATATGGATCATAATTCACGTTCCAAGATAAATATTATTAATGATACTGGCTAATGTAATTGTAGGAATTATGACCAATGCCCATTGCTAAACAAATGTTTAACTAAATCTCTTGTTTATCTTAGTACTATCTCTACAATAGAGAATCCGACGGTTGAAAAATTCTATATTGGTAATACTAAGAATTCTTTTAAGACTGGGTGGTATCAGCATACCTTGTCCTTTACCAATACTACTTACAGAAATAATACATCACTTTCTAAATATTTTGGGAGTTTAAATATGATAAGACTCCTAAGGTGAAATGGAAAATTTTAAAAACGGCAAAGACATGTACATCTTTATATGAACCCTGTTTTCTGTGTTTACATGAAAAACTCGAAATCATCAGATTTTTTTGACAGAAATTCATTGTTAAATCAAAGAAGTGAATTAACAATAAATTGAACAATCAGTTTACATTTTACCTTACAATTTAGTTAAAATTTGGAATTTGATAATGCTTATTCTTATATTTTAGTTGTACTGCGTTGCACTATATATGGCTTATCTTTCTATTTGTAAAACTGATCTGGATTTAATATAATTTTGTATTAATTTCCTGGTAGTATTAGTAACATCTTGTACAGATGTATTGGCATTTGGTTATTATTTTGACATTTTATATTGATTGGTTAGTGTTCTTAACATCTTATATGAAGGATCGTTATTTAACAGTTATATATTAATTTACCAAATAATTCTATATGTTTAAATTATTTACTAGTTTCTTAAAGAAGTCATTTATTTATCAACTACAAAAAAAATTATGTAGGAAATTCACAAAGCATATAACTTGTTTAGCATTTTGTTAAATTCTTTCCATACCCATTTTTTTTTATTTCTTAGGAAACTGCATTGTCTGGTTTGTATATTTTATATAACCATATGTATCTCCTTGAAGTTTATGTCTGGCTGCTGTTAGTTGCCAATCTACCCATTTAAAAAAAAAAATTAATTTTTGCTTCTTTGCTTAGTTTAAATTTAACGTAGGTCATATTTGATTCGTTGATCAGAGTAAAGTCCACAACCTTATAATTTTTTTTTCTGAAAAAAAAAAAGGGTTGTATTTTGCTTTTTAAATCTAAATAAATCGTTCACTGCCAGTAATTTACAACCCCTGATGAGATGCATTAATATACATTGAAACACGACTGCAATTGTGTAGTTGATTTTTTAGATGTTTTTTGTGTAGTATCCTAATATATATATATATATATATATATATATATATATATATATATAATTAATTACTGGCTGTTTAAATCTATGACTACCTAATTTTGTGCATGTGTTTAGGGGAAACTATCGTGATTTTAGACGGCTCACCTGCAGATGACTTTCACAGACAAGCAAAGTTCAATTCAACCAACCGAAGTACACGCTTGGGCGAACAAGTCTCTTTCGGTCCATGACTGACTAACCAGATGTTTTCCAGTATCTTTCTGTAGTAGATTGGTTGCCACCCAAGACTATATACACAGCGTATCCTGTTATTCAACCCATAGCTGGGAGGAAAAGAGATGGATTCATACATTTCCCAAGAATATTTGCGCATAAGCCAGTATAACGAAACAGACTGGAATTTGAACTCTGACCTCCGATTTCTCCTTCCGAGACGATTACA